AAACTTGTAGAAATGCCATTCAATGACTGATTGTGAGCTCGAACTGATAATAAAAATAATCGAGAAATGAATTAGAAAATGGATTAGACGACTGGACGGAGGTAAAAAATAGTAGGCGAGAATAACGTGATAGCACGAAAGTCCGTTTTCAAGAAATTATATTTGAATGTTACAAAAAGATATTGCGACCCTGTGAGAAGTTTTCAAACCTACGTCATCCTTAGACAATCCCATATCGTCGATAGCCGTTCTGAAGAAACTCTCGGAAGGTTTACCTACAGTAACGATGCGAGCATCTGTTGCATACTGTAACGCTTTTGCAAAGCCACCCAAATCAAGACAAGGACCATCGACGCGCTGATAGAATTTCCTGCAAATGAAAAGGAAATTTATCATTCCGCAGAAGAAATAAAATGATTGATTCTTGTTTGATTGCTTGTTTCTTCTTCTAAATAAGTATCGCTGAAAGGAAATGATCGAAGTTTATCAACAGAATAGAAAGTCGATCCAATTTAAGACCTTAATGAAAATGTTTGATTCGTGAGTTGTGAGTGATTTCAGCAATGATTATTCAAAAGAGACTGACAATCGGTAACTGATTATTCGATAAAATTTTACCCGAATCCGAGCGTAACGATTAAGGGATCTTCAAGTTGGTGTAGTAAACGAAATGCACTGTTCATAGCCTCATAAGTGAAATCCTCTTCTGCATCACCCATCACAACACAATTCGGGTTCGTTTGATCGACACTCGCAAATTCTTGCACAGCACCTTTAAAGTGTTGAAATGAACACTAATTGTAAGCTGCTTTTAACACCACCGTCAAATTGTTTTTGAAAGAAAAGGAACAGAATTGCATATTTAAAATGAACCTTTATGTACGATTAGATGTGGCCTTAATCCATTCTTCTTCAGATACTGGACAGCAACTGGTGCTGGCGTAAAGATATGTTCTTCGTTGAGCTTAAATCCGAGCTTACCCAATTTATTCGCGAGTTCATGCCGACTTTCGCTACTCTCGTTACTGACGAATCGCACAACACTTTCAGAATATAACCTGAATAGTGCATATTAGCACATAAAATCAACCAACAATAATTCATCGCAATCCAAACGAATGATACATTCAATGTTCGACAACTGGATGCATATCAAAGGAATGTGTGTGTTTGTGATTGATTCGGTACACGCTCATAATGAAGCACAGTATGTCATCGTACCTCGCTTACCTATTGACGGCTTCAATCGAACCTGGAATAGCACGACCGATGCTGTTCGGAGAACTGTTGTAAAGCACACCGGTTATATCGAGCAAAAATCCGCGAATTGGTTTTCGCAAAACAGCTTCCATCTAGGAGACGCGAATACAATAAACGGAGAATTTTGAAACTGAGACTTAGACTGAAGACCGTTCACATAAAATTTTATGCTGATATTCAATTATGCAACTGAACAATTTAGCACTGCCTATATTATCGACGGAAGATCCGAATACAAGTTCAACGCTTCTCAACAGATCAATCGATAATGATCACTCTCTCATCTGCTGGAGAGCATATGTAACATCAAACAATGCGCACTCGAACGTCTTTTGTGACCCTCCAACAATTCTGATCAACATTTCAGAGAGACGTCGCGGCAATTGCTAAAACTCGGTCCAACGAGATGGTCTTGCCCGAGGGAATTATTTGAAGAAGTTCGCTGTGCGAATAATCGCTATTTTAACTGAAATGAGATGAAGCTTACCCTGGACATCGGCCAACAGACTTACTATTAGACTTCACTCTGAGCACACGTTGAGACATCCACCGGACTCAGGCTGAGGTTTACTCTGTCATGTGAACCTCTTCGAAGA